AAAACGCGTTCTACAGGGGCAGATGAGGAGATTGTGGTATTATACTTAATAACTATCGTTATTGTTGGGATCAAATATCCCAAATGCATTATTTCTTCAAATTTAATGATTTAACTTAGTTATATCATATAAAATCAAATAATTAATATTAAAATCAAATGTCTTTTTAAATTGGAACCTGAAGATTTTGACAATATAATACATTTTGGCTACATTTTACACTTGGTAAGCATTGGATTAGTTCCTTCAATATAGGATGCTAATGTAAAACATTTATCATATTTGGCCATAGTAAATTCATCTGATTTTAAATTTTCAGAATCAGATTATGAGGATTAAATAATAATATCCATGCTTATGCTAATCTATTAAATTAAAATATAAACAATATTATACTTCATATATTATCTTTTTTTTATATGATTTTTATATAAAATAATATTAATATTATATTATGAATATGAATATGATAATATTATATCCTAATTCTGATTTCATATTACAAGCAAATTTTATAATCAACTATTTATATTATTTAAATTCGAATTGGGTCATTTTTAATTTTTTAAAAGCATCATTGTAAAGGATCCTACTTTTTTAAAAACCTTCGTTATAAAATTAGTAGCTTTCTAAAATTATGAGGCAATTTAGATAAGTTTCAAAGAGACCTACTCTAATTTGAATTCATAAATGCTAACAATTATTTTCCTAACAACCTATTTCTGTAGTGAAATATTTTATCAAGGCTGGAAACCTAACTACTAAAAGACGTTAATCGTCTTGGCAAGATCGTCCATATAAACTTAGAGACTCATTGACCAAAAATGACTTATTTTTAGATTATTAAGAATAAAGGATAAGTAGCATACTAGAATGATCTTAATTACTCTTTTTATGTTACTTTTAGCATATATATTTTATTGTGCCAAAGTTTTATGTATTAAGCGATAAACTATAAGATTTTAGAATACTATTGATGCGTATTAGACATGGAGACATGTCCCCTCCTAAAAAAAGAATGAATGACTCTCTATATGTAGTGAACAAAATAAAAAAAAATTATTCAAATAACAGCCCGAATATTATATAACCATAATCATCTCATATAACTCTAACCCACGATATAAAAATAATGAAGTTTATGTGATTCATCTTTTTGGACACCTAAATTTGTTAATTTTATTTGGTTTCTTTTAAAACTATGCTCAGACAAAGACCGAACCTAACTGATTACAAAGATGGAGCCGAACCAGACGCTAGCCTTACCCGAGTTACTGCTTGAAAAAAGCAGGGCTGTGCCGATATTAAATATCGGATCGGATCGGCACCGATATTTAGCATCTTCTAAAAATATCGAATCGGGCCGATACCTATAAAAAATCGATCCGATCCGATCTTTTTACTTTTTATTTTTGTTATTTTATGTTATGTATATTTATTTTACATCATTATAATATTTTCTAAATAATTTTTTTTAAACAATGCAATGCAAATGCACAACACCCTCTAAATTTTATATCTTTTTTTAAATAGATTTATAGTATTTAAAAATTTTTTATTATTTTAAATCTTTTTAAATAATAACGCCAATTTTATTATTTATACTTATAATAAAAGAATTTTTTTAAATATGGTATCTCAATTATGGAAATATTTTACAAAAGACAAAGATAATTTTGCAAAATGCATTATCTGCGGAATCATCTGATTCTGCCTTCAGTACGGCAGGGGATATAGATAGTCCATATCGTAGAAGCTTATTGCCAGAAAATCTAGAGGCTCTCATATTTATTTTATAAATCTAATATATTATAATTATTAAATATTACAATTTTATAACTCATACCAACATAAAATGGATATATTATTAAATATATTTTTTTTAATTAGTCTTAATTGCAGAAATAAAAAAATTAAATTAAATGCATAATTCGATTTTTTGCATAAAAAATATTGATTTCTAAATTACATTTGGTTCAATGGAAAGGGGGCGGGGGGTTATAAATATCAGATAGGTATCGGATTGGTTTTGAAGCAATATCGGATCGGTGAAAAATATGTGGATCGGCACAGCCCTAAAAAAAGTCTATTATTTTAACAAAAAAAAGTTTCATGTTAAAAATGATACCTTATAATACACAACTACTTAATAAATAAAAAATCATAGATCATAAATTTTTTTAGAAGGCGTTATATTTATAATATAGACAACGCAACCTTCTTAAAGTTATTGTAAAAAAAATTAAAATGATCTTTATAATTTTAAAACTAAATAAATAATTTTTTTAAAAAAATATAACAATTTATATTGATCATGACATGACTAGATACTAGACTAAATGGGATACTAGTTTCTATATAGAAAATTTTTTGGACCAAAAAAGGTTAACGATTTTACTAGATAAATAAATTATTCATGAATATTTCTATATTATTAGATGATTATCTATTTGGTAATAGTATATTTTAAATGATTTAATGTTATGGTATAATCATAATTAGAATCATATTAAATATGTACAACGAACATAATCAAATTAGTGATATCGGATCGGTAATTGTTTCAAGGAGACCTCTAATGATTAAAATATTATACAGATTTATAATGATACTTTACTTAGTAAATTAATATGCATATATATGTTCTACCGTATATAACCAAATTGCCGTGAGTAATCAATATCTTAACCAATACCAGCGACCAATACTCAAAAATAAGTCCACATTTCGTTATAAATTTATATTAAAAAGTTCATATAATAGTTTCTAAACCGATAAAAACAAAATGCTGTTAATTTTTATTTTCTTTTATCTTTTTCTTTTAATTTATTTTACTTTTATAAATTTAATTAAAAGTTATAAAAAAAATGGTTAATTAACTACATTATTAATTTTTGCATCAGTATTGTGTATAGGCCGATAACGTGTTTATACAGTTAAAAAATGGTATCAGGACATCTCTGGAGAAATCTAAATGTGTAATGTTTATATTTTTGCTATGATATTTAAAAATTAACTGTCGAAGGACTAAGGAGACTTTTTATCTAAAAGTTATGACGATTAAAAAAATAGGTATATTTTATTCATGTAATCCATTCGAATTGTTTAGATGGGAAAACACCAGCTCTATCTTTTTACGTGTTAAAATCATGTGAATTCTATTAGACAAAAATATAATTATAAATTCTTACCCGATCAAATTAAAAGGTTTTAAATATCTCGTCGAAATTCAATATAAAAAAAATGGAAATAGTTGTCTAGTATATCACAAAACAAAACATGGTCCATGCTAAAATTTTAAAAAAAAATTTCGATAAATAATTCATCTCAAGTGATCACTAGGCCTTTTCAAAAATGAATTTTTAATTGATATGACTCTAAAATTCATTTAATATAATATAAAATATAAAAATTTCAACAATATGAAGAGTAAATTATTTGATTCGTTCGAATATGAATAAACAATTATTCGATTCTCAGGTTTTTAAACATCAATAAAAATGCTTAATTATATAAAGTTTTAAATTTAAAATTTTTATTATTTTATCTTTGCTTGTTCTCATAATATCCTTCCTGTATCTGGCACACAATAGTGAGGTTTAAAAAATATATAACGCACCTATTTTTATTTAATCGCAAATTTTAATGAAATTTGTGTCCTAACTTTAAATTATTTTTTTAAACCCTAAAAATTGTGATTCAACAAATGTATATATATATATCATAATTCATATTTTAATAAATTTATTTTGTGTCAATTATTAGGCCGCTAGCCCAACCTTGAGCTAGGGAAGGGGCTCTCGGAAGGTGGGAGAAGATGGTTTTCGTCCGAATAATGAAGTGGGGATTGATGCTGGGGGGAGGGGGGGGGGGGGGGGGGTAACAAAGGTAAATAAAATATTGTTGGGAGAGGGATAATATTTTTTTGAGGGCTAGTATAAATAAAGGAACAAAGGCCCAGGAAATAGAGGAGGCATCGATTCCCAATAACTAAGATCTTGCAGATATTAAAGTAACCTATTTCTGGAGAGTTTCATTTTGTAGAATATGAATGGAAAAATCAATTTAATCAAATCCTTATCTATAAGATAACAAATTTCTTCTAGATACCCTGAAAAGATAATATTTTTTTAAATATGCCATTAAATTTTTATTAACAGTATCTGATAAGATTATATTATTATAAGAATCTTAAAAATGATGGAATAAAAAATAAAAAAATGCGAATTCAAACTCGAATTAAGTTACAACACCAATTACCATATGGTTTATAAACAAATATAGATAAAAGAGCGTTATTTATTAATGGAAATGGTAGCTCTGAGGTAAGAATCTGAGCTGATATGCACTAGTATTGAGTTCGAGTCCAAACTTGAGCAAAAAAAATCGAGTTCAAAGTAAAATTCCGTGTCTAATATTAAATTAGTGTCAGAAAAAAATGGCAATTTGTCTAGTTCCAACAAAACACGGAATGCCTCTATTTTTCGTAAATATTATTTTAAGACGATAAACATTTTCCACCCCTTACCCTCCCACTGCTACTCTATTTACAAAAAATGAATAAAATAAGTCATAAACAATATAAAATAAGTAATATTTTTTAATAAAATTACTATAATTGAGATTTTTCAAAAAAAAAGTGTAAAAAAAATTATTTTTTAAATATAACATGGCCAAGGCGACCTAAAGCAATCCAATAAAATTTATGGCCCAAAAGCCTTTCTAAGGAAAATCCCGTGAAGACTATTCGTTATCGTAAAATTACAAATTGGCTCATAGGTTTAAGTTAATATTATTTTTAGAAAAATTTATAAAATTAAGTGTGGAGAATCGAGTTCCCTTGTTTTAAAAAATATTGCATCCCTCCCTAATAACACCTCCAATATATATGTATATTTATATTAATGTATGCTATGCATTCGCAGTTTATAAACAGCATAATAAATATAATTATTTCCTTAGAGTATATATTTAAAATATGAATGGAGTATTTAAATTACCCTTACTATGGTATAACATCAACTGCCTGAGCTTGATGTAGGCTATGGAAATACGAACCACTGATATCTTATCAATTTGCAAGGATGAATTAAGGCGACCTGGTTGTTCGTTTAGATTAGATGATTTATGGAAGGGAAGCATAGCCATCATTTCTTTGAATATTTGAGCTTCTATACATCTTCTCATGCGGGCTGCGTTCCTCGAAGATTCTTTTCGGTATTCGTGGGCTTTGGAACTGATAGATCGAAAACAAAAAACATATAACAAATATTTATGACTAATTTTGTCGAATGAATAATCTCAAACAAGCCTTGCGCAAGCTTTGCGCAAGCTTAAATTTAATTTTTTTTTTAAACTTTTTAAGATGCATAATAAGAACTAGAGAATACCATAAAATAAAATTTTACAAATTCCAATAAGGAGAAATAGTGAAGGCTAAATGTTCGGCCCAGGCAGAAAACATAGATCCGACTTTCCGGCCTGGTATGGTTTTTGTAATCTATGTCCGGGCCGTTATAAAAAAATTTATAAAATTAAATTCATAGCATATTTTTTTGTTTTTTAAAATAATAAATGTTTTGCAATTATGAATATTTTTATTTATAATGCTAGATTCTAAAAAAAATTAATATTAAATGTGTCTTATTTTATCAAAATTAAATCAAAATTTCTTATATACTTAATAATGACCATCTTATCTAGATTGAGGTCAGTCGCTCTGCCATTTAAAATACTTATAAAATGTTCCATGTAGTGACCAAAACATAAGGAAGTCACTTTATAAAGGTTTTCAAAACTTTAAAAAATCGGTCCAGTATTGATATCGGTCAACTCTTTGACCTTCAAAACAAGTATTATAAAAATAATTGTATTTAACTAAAAAAAATAAAGTAGACTGAGTAAATAAACGTTTTAAAAGAACACTATATAAATTTGAAATTTTATTAGGTTGGGTCCAAAACCTATTTCAAAAATTTAAAGTTTTAAAGCTTTAAGCTTAATAATAAAACTTTGAAGATTTCACAAATATGTTTTAGCCATATTTTTTAGTTGATGAATATTTGTTTCCAAATGTTACCAAAGAAAAAATCATAGAAAACAAATAAAAAGATTTAATATTAAATTTAATATCCTCAAGAGAATATATATATACATTTCTAACACCCATCAAACGTTGAATAGTTATTTTTAAAACAAGTATCATGATTTTAATATATTTTAAAGAGTATCCAATCCAAAGTGTAACAGTTATACTACCTGCCAGTTAAGAAATTGAAAGATTTTTTTAGTTTGGAATTTAATAATTAAAAGCTAACAATTAATCATTTAACAATATACTTTATTTATTAAATAAAATATCAAACTTAATAAATAAATCTTTGTTTTAGATCATATATGTGAATATAAATATTTTTTAGCCCATGTATCTATGTAAAGAAACATAAGTATCTTTTAATAACTGAATATTGATAAAAAAACTTTTGTATCGAAATATAGTAAAGTGTGAATAAATTAGATTTCTTCTTGGACCAGAAATCAAAAAGTTTAAAGCGAGAAATTATAAGATAGGAAAGTTATACATTTGAGTTACTTATATAAAAAACTACAAACCATGAATCTTAAAAGTAAGTTTAAATATCAGATTTAATCAAATAATATTATTACAATATTTATCTCAATTTCATTCTGTAATAAAAAATGGACTGACACGTTTAATAATATCGTTTTCATTTCATTTTCAAAAATGTAAACATTTCTTCTGTATTTTTGTATACACATTTCAGATAATAAACACTCATTAATAATTTATTGCTCATACAAAATGGCGCAATTTGAAAAATTTAAGCCCCATTTAGGATATAATTTTTTTGTACTCAAATTGTAAACATTTATCTATCAAGGTTATTGAAAGAAAATGATTAAACAAAATCGTTAGTGATTCAACGTCAAACCCAGACAGATTATCGAGAGCTCAAATACTTTTTCTAAATATATTGATTTTAATATAGAAGATAATTCATTACTATTTTTTTGGCTTAATTGTATATGGAGTTATTCATTGTACTTTTATCATCAATAATATTATAAAAATTATAAATCTATATTATAATTAGTGTAAAATCTATCAAGATGATCATCAATGTCACCATAATAAAGCATCCTTAATGTGTGTGGCTAGATAATTAAACTTTAAAGGGGAAATATTGAAAAGAAAATAATTACCAACTGTGTTATGCCCTGCCATACTAAGTTTCAATCTAAACTAGTGAATCCTTACTAAAGTAGCCACCTTATTATATTTCCCGTATTAGTTGAGTCGCTTAAGATATTAAAATGAATTATATTATATATGGTAACTACTGGTTATGAATCTCTCTTGAATGGTCAATATCATTGGTTTCACTTTATTTAAGAAATCGTATATAAAACGTCAGGTTAATAATATAAAATGGGATTTTATATATTGTAAATCAAAATAAGATTACTATATTTAAAATATAAATTTCAGGTTAATAATGCTTACTACCAAAGGCAATACCGAATCGTGATTTTACAATTTTTATTTGATATATACTGCCAAATACCAAAATTATAAAAATGTAATAAGACCCTTATTATTTAACATATATTATTATGGAATCACGTGATCGAGTACGGCCTTCTATATATCATCCCCAAGGAAAGAACTACAAAGATAGATAAGAAAAAAAATAATAATTGCTGGGATTCGAACCCATAACCAACGGATTGGTAAGCAACTCTCTTGCCGACTAGGCCACTAACGCTTTCCAAAAATCACGATTTTTCAAATATATATTATAAATATATTTAGTAGTGCCTATCCAAATGAAAAATAAACAAAATACAAATTTGATAGGTAAATACCTTAAGGTAGTAAGCATCATTAACCTAAATTTCACATGTAATCTTTTTTTAATAGTGGCGTCGTTAGGGAGAGACAGAAGTAGTTCTCATCGCGCCAAAATGTAATTAAAGTGCGCTAAAATATTTTTAAAAAATGGTGTTTATAGGAAGGCTAAATCAATAAAAATTGACTTTGTAGCAATCCGGTTGAGTCCGGACAAAAGATAATATCAAAATATTATTTTTGAAATTTATTTTTAAACTTTAAATAAAATATTAGGCCATTTTTAAAAATATCCTTCACTATCGGAATAATAGGCAATGAGGCCGTTGTTTTCGGGATAGGTTATTTATTCTATAATGAATATTTATTCAATTGAGATATAGTGTTTAGCGCGTTTTTCTTCTCTTTTTATTTACCTATATTTTTCTAATAAATGCAGAAAACCATAATAGTAATTTTAGATTTTTAAATATAATATATATCCGAGGCCTGCAGGCACTACTCTAAGCAAGGTCCGGGTACACGGACCAGACCGCATTTTTTATTTAGATGACACGGGTTGGGCCTAAAAAAATTTAAATATCCGGGCCGGGCTGGACCTAAAAAAAATTTATTAAAAAACGGCGCAAGAATATTTTAAATCACAATTATTCTATAAAAATTATAAATATATAAAATATATTTAAAAAATGTGTATCATAGAATAATATTCACACTTATTCACTTATCATAATTCCTATTTCTATTTTCCCTTATTCAACTAATCATTATTTTAGGTAAATTCAATAAAATTAAAATTAACAAAGATACACTCAATATTTAAAATATAATACACTTTTTAAGGATAAAAATTATTTTAGAAATAATCATTTTATCTCTAGGTGGGTTGCCTGGGAAAGAAAATTACTAGGAAATAAGGAAATTACCATACACGTGTTAAATACTCTTTTTATAACAAATAGGGAGGTAAGATAATTTGAAAAGGTATTATATTTTTTTTTCTCTTTAGCTTTCACCTTTTCTGGTGGTAAGCTCCTTCAAAATCTCTCTCCACTTTATGTTATTCATACAATCTCTTTTATCTATTTTATACTTCTTTATATTGGCTCTAACTTTATGGCCCCATTGAAGTTTTGGCCTTCCTCTTTTACGTTTGCCCATCACCTCCAAACTTTCAACTTTATTTCCTATGTAGTTCATAGGCCTTCTCATTGTGTGCTCATACCACCTAAGTCTGTTTACCATTAACTTAGTCTTAATAGGCACTACCTTTAAACTATTTAGTATTCTTGTACTGGGCACCTTATCCTTTCTTGTTACCCCAGAAATCATCCTCAGCATTCTCATCTTCATAGTTTGTAGACTTCTCTCGTCTGATTCTTTGGTTGGCCATGTTTCTGAACTATATAGAATAGTTGGTTGTACTATGGAACTGTAGATTTTTCCCTTTAATTTGTGTGGGATTCTTTTGTCAAATAGCACTCCAGATAAAGATCTCCACTTTAACCACCCTTGATTAATCTTATTCTATCTCTTTTTCTATTGTGCCGTTTGTTTGTATAGTGGAGCCCAAATATTTGCAGCTTCCAATTGCGGATATCTGCCAATCATTTATATCAATACTCTCCGTTTCATCTCCTCCTATCACCATATACTCCGTCTTTTCTCTATTTACTTTTAATCCGTGCGTTTCTAGGATATTTAACCAATTCACTAACCTTTCTTTCATTTCATTCTTGGATTCGGCAAGTATCACAATATCATCTGCAAATATCATATTCCACGGGACTGTTTGAGGTATAGACTGTGCTAATACATCTATTACTGTAATGAAGAGAAGTGGGCTGAGAGCCGACCCTTGATGAACTCCTTCGGCTATTGTGAAGCCTGCTGAAGTACCTGTTGTGCTACGGACCATTGTTGTATGTCCCATATACATATCCTGTATTATTCTTATATATTTTTCGGGAACTTTTTTGTGGCGTAGCGCCCACCAGATAAGTTTTCTTGGGATTCTATCGAAGGCCTTTTCTAGATCGAGAAAGACTATGTGTAGCTTTTTGTTCTTTTCCCTGTATTTTTAACTCATTTGCCTAATTGCATGGATAGCATCGGTTGTTGATCTTCCAGGCATAAAGCCAAACTGTGTCTCTCCTATTTCGATTATATCTCTTAATCTTTTTTCTATTATTTTTTCGTATAGTTTTAGACAGTGTGACATTAGTTTTATGCCCCTGTAATTTTGACAATTGTGTGGATCCCCTTTATTTTTGAAGATAGGAACTAGATAGCTCTGCCTCCATTTTTGGGGAACCTCTTCATTTCCAAGTATTTTATTGTACAGATTTGTGAGATGTATTCCATCATCTCCTAGTGCTTTAAGGCTTTCTATTGGAATATCGTCTGGACCCCTAGCTTTGTTGTTTTTCATATGCTTGAGGCATGTGATTATTTCTTGTTCTGTTATAGGTTGTACAAGGTTTTGACAAGGAGAGTGTTCATCGAGATGCAATATGTGGGAATTAAAGTTGAGAAGCTCCTATTCATTATTTCTTTTTCCTTTATTATCAATTTCCCATCTTTATTTTTGATTACTTTCGGAGCTCCGTTTATATCCCTAGAGTTCTTTTCTCGCTGTTTGGCTAATCTGTATATTTTATTTTGCCCTTCTTTGGTATGTAGATCTTCGTACATATCATCGTAGCCATAGATTTGGCCCTAGCCACCGCCTTTGTGGCTAATCTCTTGGATTTTTTGTATCTTGACTTGTCATCTGCATTTTTGGATTTGTACCATATTTTATAAAGGGCTTTTTTCTCCTGTATAGTGGTTTGTACCTCTTGATTCCACCACCATAGTTCTTTGTGTGATTTGTTGCCTCCTCTTGTCAAGCCTAGCGTCGATTTTGCAGTGTCTATTAATCTGGATGAAAGGTCTGTCCAGATTTTTTCACTGACTTGTGAGCAATTTATTGTTTCAATGTTTGCATTGATTGCAAAGGGATCAGTCATTGTTTTTAATTTGCCCCATTTGATGCATGGTTCCAGTTTTATCTTATTTTGAGTGGATTTATTTGAGATTTGTAAATCCATGATTAGTAGCTTGTGTTGCGCGGCGATATCTTCTCCTGGGATGACTTTGCAGTCTATTACATCTTTTAATCTTTTGCGAGAGATTAGCATGTAATCTATCTGTGTTTTCCTAGTACCACTTTCATATGTTATTAAATGACTGTCTTTTTTCCTATAGTAGGTGTTGGTTAAGGCAAGGTCGAAGGCTTGCGCAAATTTCAGTATGTGCTCTCCTTCATCATTTCTTTCTCCGTATCCAAAACCACCATGATGCCTTTTGTAGCTATCTCTTGCTTTCCCCACATGCGCATTTAAGTCACCACCAATTATGACTAGGTCATCCTTAGGGATTTCCATTACAGCTTCATCAAGGATAGCTCTAAAGTAATTTTTCTCTTCTTCCTTGCAACCCGTTTGAGGAGCATATACTTGATAGGATGTGTAGTATTGATTGACCAATGCAGAGTTTTATCTTCATTAGTCTATCAGAGATCCTGTTGACTTCTACTACTGAAAAGGTTAGGTCTTGGCTGAGGATGATGCCGACACCGTTCCTATTGCTAACAAGTCCATTATAGTACAATTTATACCCATTTCTTTGCTTTGACCTTTACTTTATTTTTCACAGGATGGAGGTCTACACCCTGCGCGTCGCATGGAGGGAACGCCCTAGCTTTCATATTCATATTTTCATTTGTGTCCTTCATTTTGTTTATTGGACAGGTATCCTTAGCACCCGGCTGTCCAGGCCTGTCGGTGACCGGGGTGTCATCTCTAAGCTCCGAAATTCATCATACCATATGTCTTTACACATCAGTCATCGAAGAAAAACTTGAAAGTTTTTATGGTTCTTACCAGGATTGAACACGCGTCCTTGTTCATACTCGTGTTTCCAAGCCTGCATCTTACCCATTAGGCCAATTATATATGGACCTATTATTAGCTGAAAAACGATCCGTAAAATACCGAATAAGGTATATCTTTTTAAAAACCAAGGCTGTATAAAGTTTATATATCCTGGACGAAATTTTTTCATAAAGAAATCCGGGCAAGCCGGGTTTTGAAATCCGAGGCGTGCAAGTGGTACCTCTGCAAATTTCTGATATACATAGATCGTATTCAGCATAATTCTTTATAAAATAAAAAAATATATAATCTAATTAGCATTGTTAGTGTGCCCTGCTATTTAAAATTTAATAATAAACTTGTTTAAATGTGCATGTATTATACAATTACATATATAAAAACATATGTTTATGTTTATTTAAATAATATCCAAAATTAAATAAAAATTGATTTTTCCATCTCTTCTTTATATTTTCCTAATAACAATAAAAATTGCGTGATAATTATCATTTCAAGCGTCTAAATGGAATCGATTAATAGAGGAGATAATTATTGCGTATTTCGGTTGGGGGGGGGGGGGATCAGCTATAAGAGTTAGTGCATAGGAGTAACCATGTTGGGTAGAGTAAATCGTCCTTCGGAAATTTGCCTGTTCTCGTATCATTAGCTAATAAAAAAATTCCCCCTACCTATCCTACACCCCTTCCCCTCAAAAATGTATACAATATATCACTATAAAGAAGAATTTTAAAAAAAAATAGTAAAAGTGATAATTTTTTTAAAATAATGACTTTAATTCAAAATACTTAGAAAAAAAGGAGATAAACTAAAATTATTTTTATATAAATCAATTTAACAAAGGTTTACAATAAGTATACCTAAAACCCCCAATAAATCTTTTGGGGAAAACCCCAACTTAATAACCCCTCTAGAAAAATCCTGGCTATTCCTATGAGTTAATGATGACATTCGTTTTATTTACAATTATTTTAGGATTATGTGAAATTTGGGTCAATCACTCAATTGTATCTATAGAAGACTTGCATTGGGTCTATATTTTATATATACCATCTGAACTATTATTTTATAGGTCTAATCATAAAAAATATAAAATAAAAAACATTTTATGATAAATTAATTTTTTAAAGGAAAATGGCACTCAAGGAAAATATGAAACTTTATATTAAATTAACATGTAAAAAAATCATGTAGGCAATTAAAAAAGACAAATATAAGAATTATATTTTTAAAAAACCAAGAGGAGGAGAAGGAGGGCAAAAAGAGACTATCAATAAGATCCAAGGAAACTAAAATAGTTGCCTCAGAACATGACAATTTGAGTTGACTATAATATTTTAAAAAATGATAGAGTTAATAGCTCCATGGCAACTGAACTTTCCTTTCAAATATAAAAGGTTAGAACATGTAGGCCCTAAGAATTGGACTATTTCCTGCACATTGGGTAGACATAGATCACAGCCTAGTTTATATCCTATGGGCACCCTCACCCCCTCATTGGACATTGGATAGTAAAGACTAAGATTGGCTTTAGAGACAGCTTCAAGACATTCATGGCCAGAGTTTTGTCCCAAGTATTTGAGGATTGGAGTGTCTTCAAAGAAGGATTTAATCCCTACTAAATTCTTAAAACTAGCTAAAAGAGGGCTAAGAAAGTCTCTTTTGGGGGAAGGTAGGAGATAAAAGGCATAAATTTTTCTTCCATTAAGTCACGGGCAGAATAAAATAATTTTAATTTTTTTATCCAAAGTCCAGAAGAATTTTTTACTAAAAATCGTAGCTTAACCAGCATAAAATCAAGATGTGAAATTAAATTAGAGGTTGGTGTAGGCTAGCCTAGTTTGAAATGGTCTGTGAAAATTTTTATACTAATTATTGATTGGGCTAATCTTTCAAAATAAACATAATTTAAACTGATTTATTTGGGATTTTTCTCTTATTATTATTTTATACATAATTTCACACTAAATATGATTAAAATTCAATTAATTTGTAATTATAAAGATATTAAAAAATAATTTATAAAAGAAAAAGTTGTTAAAAAAATATCTAATGATTCATAGTCAGCCATAAATATTGACCATATTTTAAATAAGATGATTAACTTTTGGGAAAATAAAAAAACTAAAATAGACATAGTCTCTATTTATAATGAGGGTGCATTGCTCTAGAGATACAACAGACATCACTGGATATTTTTCACAAATAATAGGTAAAATGTAATGACAACAAGATATAATGAAATAAATTACATTGCTATAGACCCATCAAGGTGCTTACTATAAACATGGCCTACTTAAGTCCTTCATAATAAAATTATTTGCATAGAAAATATCAAATTGATTTTGTATGACATTGGTTTAAAGATGGATGGTAAATAAAAATCAATCTAAATATTGATATCAGATAATGGGGTTATTGTATGAATATTGGTAAATATTCGATCAGATCAGTGAAAAATTTAGCTCTACTAATTAACATATTTAAAAAATTTATACGCTAGCCTGTAAACATATTTTGTAAAAACAGTCATGGCCCAGCCCAGCCCAGCCCAGCTAACAATCCAGGTTAGGACTAGGCTGTTGCAACTAATACGGTTGAGTTACTGAGATTAGCTCTATAATAAATATTTACATTATTCAAGAAATAAATTTATATTAATAACTAAATATTAATCAGTTATTTTGTTGAAAATAATTTATCAACAATTTTGCCCTATATTTTAAAAATTTAATCTCTACAATTTGTGGAAAATTTCTAAATTATTAAAATTAATATTAAACTGAAAAATAATGTATTACTCTAATATTTATTATGTTTTTATTTTGATTAATATAAGACTATTTAATGATTAAATTACAAATTTTCAAGAGTACTGGAATAAAGCTTTATTATAGTTGAGTAAGAACTAGGCAAAATTGCTATAAAAAAATTATTACATTATAAGAAAAAATATTTCATCAAAAATAATAAAAAATTTGGCCTGACATTAAAAAAACATAAATTTTTATAACAAATACCTTGAATATGAAATTTAATAGATATTTGTAATAACATATTTTGTATAAACCTTTTAATAAGATGTTTAATTATTTATGAAGCAATACTTATCTTTCCAATATAAACTAATTAAAAAAGATTATTACTTATAAAATATACTAATGCTTATATAATATTTGGAAATGGTTAGATTAAAAAAAAAGGCTTTAAAAATTGTTTCTATTTACATGTTCTAACTTGTAAGCTATATATATTAATAATTATCTAAATTTAATAACATACTTAACATTTTTCTTTCTCATTTCAGCTAGAGACCGACCCTGATAATATATTATCTGATTAGTTAACATATGTGAATTATAACTCGGATTTTAACTTAAAAATTCCAACATTAAAAAATTATATTTATTATAAACAAAAGAATAAAGATCATTATATATTTCTATAAAATAAAGATTTTAATAGTCTAATTTTTTTGATACAAATAATTAGTATATAAGCAAATTTTTATGATTATCAAAACATGGTTGTTAAAATTATAAATTTTTACATTATTTCTTTCAAATTATTGTTTGAGGAGTTGGGGAGAGGGTTAAAGAGGATTTTATTTATTGGCTTAAAATAATATTCGCAAAGTGTTGTATTTTTGAAGGGGAGATTTCCCCTTAACCCCACCCCCATAGCTACGCCTATTGGCTTTATGATGGAAACTATATTTTTCTATGCCCTCGCTACCGATTATCTAATTGTATGATTATAATGAAATGAAAGATTATCCATCGTATAAATAATTTTATTTATCATATTAATAATGGATTAATATTTCATTAACAACTGAATATTCCATTAAAAAAAAGGTACCCATAACAAGCATTAGTATGAATCATGCTTGGACACAGAAGGTCCCAGTTCGGTCCTGGTAAGGAACGTAAAAATTTTCCGGTTTTTTTTTGATGACTGATGTGTAAAGACATATGGTAAGATGAATTTCGGAGCTTAGAGATGACACCCCGGTCACCGACAAGCTTATAAATGTATTAATTTTTACAGCAATAAATTTTGTCCTATTTTATCTCAAAATTTAATAGATAACCCCCAAAAAATATTTATCCTACCCCCCATTAAAGCAGCTTACCCCCTCCCTCTCAAAAAATAGGATGCAAACTGTTCCTACCCCTCCCGCTCATGTAGACGCTGCCTGCCATAGATAGAATTTTAAAATTTTACAAACCCTTAAAAAAATACTTCTTAAATAGAGATTTTAAAAGCTGTCCTAAAATTTTGAATAATTTTTTTGAGTATGAAATGGCAGAAGCATATTTGGGATTCGTTTTGCATGTAGGAAATCTACTTCATGAAGTTAATATTCAGTTGCAATCAGTATATTCTTTATAAAAAAGGATTTACAAAATCATGCTTCCGCTAAAAATTGATAATAAATTTTATGGCGCTATTGCAAAAAGTATTATATTAAAATGTTCAAATAATACTCTAATTAATACATTTTAGTGATGCAGATATTTTTATTAAGACAATTTTAAAAATTTACAATCAAAATTTGATTTTAATAACTTTATTTACAAATGTATAAATATTATGACCTTGGAACAGAAACCATCAATTCATGGTTTTTATAATTTAATAAATATATTAAAAATACCGAAAGACATTGATGTCTTATTTGAGGAGATTGTAATTCTCTCTATTTTTTATGATTCGCCAAAATACTTAAAGTTAGATGGTCTATAAGCAGAGGAGAAATAGGTAGAATATTTTCGTAATTACGATAAATCCCCATGCTTGGAAAAAATATGCTAGTATATCTTCTCCTTACCTCATTCTAATGCCTCATCCGAGCGCATTTTTAGCCTGATGAGGACTGCCTGGAAAAAAGAGAGAAATTGGATTGCTTTAACAACATTAGAGGCCGGGCTAATGGTTAAAACAAATATATAATATGTCATGCCAGGAATTTTATAAATATCTCAATAACGACGGTAAACATTTAGTTCTATTATTTAAATCTCAAATAAAATATAATTAAGTTTTAGCAAAGGCGCCATAAAATTTATTGTCAATTTTTAACTGTAAAGATGAACAAATCTGCAGCATAATTTTGTGAATCTTTGTTAAGATTCTTCAGATTATAACTATACTTCAATAGCTTGTAGATTTCCTACATGTGAAATCATTCCTAAATATACCTCTGCCATCATTATTTAAGAAAATTTCAAAATGTTATGACAGCTTTTATAATTTTTATTTAAGAAATATATTTTTAAAGGTTTATAAAATTTTAAAATTCTATCGATGGCGGGTATTAGTAACATATCGCAACCAACATTGTGCTGACTCAATCTGCAAATTAGGGCTGTGCCAATATTAAATATCAGATCGGATCGGTACAGATATTTAGCGTTTTCCAAAAATATCGGATCCGACCGATACTTGCAAAAACCCCGATCCGATCCGATCCTTTTAATAAAAATGCAATTCTTAAAACTTTTGAGTAATGAAACTTTGAATTATTATTACATCATATTTATTATTTTTTTATTAAAATTTTTTTTTTTATTTAAAAAAAATAAATAAAAAAATAATAAATTTTTCTGAGTTTCAGTGAGTTTCTATTTTATATTAATAATATTTTCTAAATAATTTTTTTTTAAACAATGCAAATGTTATTTATTTTTTTAAATAGATTTTGAAAGTTTTTTTATAAAAATAGAAAGGAACACCCAAAGTTTTATTTATTTTTAATTTTTTTAAAAAATAACACTAATTTTATTATTTATACTTTAAATTAAAGAATTATTTTTTTCTGAATTATGGAAATATTTTGATAAAAATAAATAGAATTTAGCAAAATGCGTTATCTGCGGAATTCTAATTTCACGGGGAGGAATAATGAAAAATTCATTGAATACAACAAATATTAGGAAACATTTAAAGCGATACCATCAAACGGAATTCGAAGAGCTAATACAAAAAGAACGAGAAATATTAGAAAAAACAAATGAAATTTTTTTAAAAAAAGCCATGAAAGTCAGCCAACAATATCAGCCATGAAAGTCAGCCAACAATATCAGCCATTCTTAATAAAACTAATATTGTGAAATATTCTGGCCTGAAAATCTAGAGGCTTTTATATTTATTTTAAAAAATCTAATATATTATAATTTTATATGTTAAATATTACAATTTCATAAACCAACAAAAAATGGATATATTATTATATTTATTTTATCTATTATAATATAATTTTTTTTAAATTATTGTTAAAATAAAAAAATCAAATTAAATGCATAATTCTTTTGCATAAAAAATATCGATTTCTTAATTACATTTGGTTCAAAGAGGGGTGGTGAAAAATCAATATAAATTTTCGGATCGGTTTTGAACAAATACCGGATCGGATAGGTGAAAAATATGTGGATCGGCACAGCTCTACTCTAAATACACTCTGTTTTTACAAAATTCACTGAGGCATTATCAGATCAGAAAGTTGACATGCAATTTATTGATAATCTCGAATCTGCTATATTTACCATTATATGGTTAGCTATGTATTTGGATTTTTCACTATTTGAGGGGAAAAAATTTAATAGTTTTATTGAAACGACCTTAATTTTGTTGAAATATAGGAGGATCAAGGGAAATATTTTAATATTTCCCTTATTAGATGCATCTGTTAGAATTGCATATGTATGTCATCTTTCAAATCGTCAAGAATTGACCTCCTGGATTTAGGTCCTAAAACATTGATGATAGCCTTGCTCATTTTTGTTCTAAAAGTATAGTTTTCATTTATACTAGAGTAGTTAAATATTATGGGAAAAAGATTCTACCAACATTGTGATAAGTATATCTGTGAATGTTAAACTACAAGATAAATGATTACAATTGCCGCAACTGTAGTTGCATCTGTATTATTTCTTATTTTTGGAGTACCTTATTATGTATTTAAACGTGATACGTGATAATTAAGCGCCTATCCCTATAAAATTATACACACACACGGTAGATTTCCAATGGTGGTCGTTTTGCGGGACATTCGCATAAAATATATTTTTAATTTTAAAAGTAAAATCGTTTTTTTTATAAAATTTTATCTTGTTTACATTCTTTTATATTTAAAAAATATTGTTGGTTTTTTTATATATATTAATATATTTTAATAAATCAAGATGTTATTTTATTTTGAAAAATAGTTACCGACTTTGTATTTATATAAACTAATTATAAAAAATAATAGGCGGATAATTAAGTCAATTCAAAATCCCGGCCGAAGGCCGGCACTATGAGGGCCTTCAGCCCGCAAATTTTTTTTTTAGCAATTTTCATATTTCTCCCCCATAATACCAAATTTCTCCCTCAATTTAAAAATTTTGACCTGGCAACCCTGGTCACAATGTAATTTAGATAATGATTATTTACTTGTTTTAATATGAATGTTAATTTATATATTATGAACGTTTATGGCAAATAAAGAATTTGAAGGGTATAAGTCTAATATTTTTGTTATATGTACAAATGGCAGCAAGATTATAGGAAGGGTTGAGAGTAAGGGCTACTTTACAGTTGTTGACCGTGACCTAGGATCAGGAACACAAAAGTTTAGGTACATAACGCAATTATTAACCACTATACAGGGTGTTAGAAAGAAGTGAGATTAATAGACTATAGCATTTTGTTTTAGATATTTGGAAAATAAGAAAAAGGATAGAAAGTATGAAGTGAGTTTTAGGACTGAAAAGGAAAATAATTAATTTATTATTTATATATGACGTATAATATATATTATTGGTTAATGATATTTGATTCATTTTGGCCCATTTAAGACAATAATATTTGTGGTATCATATGTCTAGATTTATATTTTTACATCCAATGTTTGACAATAAGTTATTGTCTTATTAATTGGTAGGCCTTAAGACTCATTGAATGGCGAATAGGTTTCCATCATTAGGAAAACAGACCTCACGTAATGCAGGACAGAAAAGATTGCTGAATATTTAAATGTTGGGGATTATAATGAGCAGGGATATATGTGTATATATAGGGTTAAAAAATATTCAATTGGTGATTGTAAGTGTGATTAAGATATAAATTTGTGTAATTGAGGATTTATGAAAATATATATAGAAGTGGATTTGTGAATAATTTGTTATATATTTATGCATTTGGGTTTTCAAAGGGATGGACATGTGTGGGATGGTTTATTATTAATTAATGTTACTAAATTGTAAATGTAATCCCGTTTCAATTAGGGTTGATATATTATTAAGGGATCTATTGGGAGTGTGTTAATGTTATTTATTTTGAAGTAATTAA